TTGTGCCCAATAATGCATAATTTCATTTGGTAAACACGTTTAGATTGAATGGTAATTTATAATCAGTCACAAGAACGTCGAATCTGAATCACTTGAAAAAAACACGGGGGTGCTTAACTTTTTTCCAGGTGTATATAAAGGAAAATAGCCTTGGTCATAATTTGTCAGCCTATAAAGTGAATCAGTATATTTCATGGGAATAATTAGCACTTATCAGCATTATTTTATAACATATGAATAATTTACAAAAAACAATTATAATTATAATTCCTTGGTGTAGTTTCAGAAATTGAAATACCAGTATTAAGACCTTACTGTCTATAGGCACTGAGTAGCAGTTTTAGAAAGAATGTTGATGTTTGTTAGTGTAAACTCTTGAATTCCTTGCATTATAGATTAATCATCTTCATTGGTCCACACAAATACTATTTTGTAAGTGTAAACTCTTGAATTCCTTGCATTATAGATTAATCAGCTTCATTGATCCACACAAATACTATTTTGTAAGTGTAAACTCTTGAATTCCTTGCATTATAGATTAATCAGATTCATTGATCCACACAAATACTATTTTCTAAGTGTAAACTCTTGAATTCCTTGCATTATAGATTAATCAGCTTCATTGATCCACACAAATACTATTTTGTAAGTGTAAACTCTTGAATTCCTTGTGTTATAGATTAATCAGCTTCATTGATCCACACAAATACTATTTTGTAAGTGTAAACTCTTGAATTCCTTGCATTATAGATTAATCAGCTTCATTGATCCACACAATTATCATTTTTGTTGTTCCTGTATGCAATTGTATCATTGTGTATCTTTAACACATCCAAAAAGATCCAATCATGGTAAGTTAGTTGCTGTAACAAAGTAATTTATTTGATTTTGTAGCTGAACTACAAAAGACATGGCAGATTCTCCAGTCTTTCAAGCCCAGAGAATACATTAAAGTTGACAATGGATGAAGTAAAATTTGGGAGCTGATTCATTAGTTTTGGACTGAATGATAAAGAAAGCCATGCCTAACATACCTCCTTCAGCAGGTATCCCAGAAATGATACTGAATGTCTCTGCTTCACCAAAGTTTGGAAAATCTAGTTTCAGTAGTCATAAAATGTCTATACCATATGATAAAATTTTACTTTTCCTCTTGTGATAAAAGGAATTAATTTTAAATATGGATGGTGCATGTCATAAGTCTTTTCCAACTACAGCCTGGAGCTCTAAGGATTTTTAAAACATTTATATGAATAGTGAAAGGGTTCTTGAAAGAATGAAATTATACCCACATCACAATAAACATTTCTACTGATGAGTAGTTGGTGTTGAACTACTTTTACTAAGCTATTAAAGTATAATTTAGCTTATGTCATAAATACTTTCTTGTTTAAGACCTATTGTAGACCCCTGGTGGGTTATGCTAAAGTTTCATGTTGAAACTAGAGGCATTTGATTTAAAAATAATATTAGTGCTGAAGCTGGCTTGTTGGCACAATTCTTGTATTCAGAGGAGTAATAAAGATGCTCAAACTTCTTTGTTTAAATTTTGAAATGAAGTTTAGTGAATTTATTTAAAACTTACCTAAGAGATAAAAAATGGGAAGTAGGTTATTGTCCAACCTATAAATACATAATGTTTTGCAGGATAGGCTAGCAGTTATTCACCCCTTACATGTTTATATTAATTTCTTGCAACGAAATATTTATAAATTAAAAATACAGTAAATGTAATGATTATGATAATAACAAGAAAATTCCACATGCATAAAACTTTCACGTACTTAAATGTTGAATCAGGTATACCCGCAGGTGAAATTGTCTTGATAAAGAATAATGACAGTTTATATTTGTAGTTTGCCATCATACAACTAAAATTGTCTCCTGATTTAATACCTTAAGTATCAGGAAAATCCAGTTGACAGTAAAAGGTTTTATAAATCCTATTATCCAAAACCTTTTTTTTCTTTTTATAAAAAAATTTATAATCAGAAATAAGCTGCATTATTTTTGTATAATACAGGAGCCAATACCTACAATTTTAATAACATGCTAACTCAAACTTGTTTTCTTAAAAGTCAATAAACAGTATATTGTATGTATTTTTCAGACACTAAATGTTTTCAAATGACTAAAAAGTGTATTTTCCCAAATCTCATCTCATTGAATGAACAAAACTTTTAATATTTTGGCTGTATATGCAATAATAACTGGAAGAGAGTTCATGGATGAATATGGTACAAGTTTATTGTTTCGTTATTGTTGTTTATTATAATTTCACAATAATTTATCTCCTGTAGGACAAAAGTTAAATGAGAGATTCATGTGTAAGCTCTGAAAAAAAAAAAGAGGAGAAAGATAAGTGAAAGGTGTGTGAGCATAACACATCATGTTCATGTTGTGCCACAAAGAGAAAATAAAATTATTATAATTTTTCTTGCAGTGTACTTGAAAAAGAAAATTTCAAACTGAGATACAAAATGCTAATTAACTTAAATGAAAGAAGTTTCATCCTGTTCTAAAATATACGTTTTTTGTAGATTTTGAAACTATACTCTTCATCTGAAAATTGGTTCCTTTGTCTTGAGTTATAGCTCTATAAATGCATGCATCTTGGTTCCTGGAAGATGTACTGTACTGTGTTTAGTGAAAATAAACTCGCATTACTGAGAAGTTTTGAGGATCAGAAAATATGATTTCTGAAAAGCCGAGCAGTTTCAGTTTTGTTGCTAATTGAAAATGACGAGGGATTATTGGAAAAGCATTAAACTAAACCTATTAAAGATGATAAACTAAAGAAGGTGAGTGAGTATATAGTAGTACTTCAGTTGTAACGAGTTACAAAAGATTGCTAGTGGTTGAAATGTACAACATTTTTTGTTTCTTTATGCATGGTTGGGATGTACATTGTTAACAGAATGTAGATTTGGCACATTTAAACATCATGTTATGATTTAATGTGTGACAAACATTATTTTGCACCAAAAGAATTTTATGAGATTTTCTTCAATATTTAGGAACTTTGCTATATAATATACTAATATAAAGAGATGGATTGGAGATTTTCTGCGTTTGGACAGCAGTGAGTACTTGGAAAAAAGTCCTAGATGGAAGTGTATACCTATGAAGTGAGCAAAGAGTAATGTTGCTTGAAAATTGAAAAGTTACTCGACATAAAGATGCTACAGAAATGGTCCTAGCTTTGTATATATTTGAGACTGTCAATTGTGCTTTTATGTGGTATTTATGTATTGTTGATTGAAATGCAATACAATCCTGGATTGGCTGGGCATTTCTAGAAAACATGTTATAAATATAATGAATGTCGATCTTATATGGGTATACTTCTTTTCTAGTAACTGTCCTGGATTGGATTGAGCTGGTGTAGAAAACATGTTATAATTATAATTAATGTAGACTCCTGTGGGTAGACTCGTTCTCTGGTAACTGTCCAGGATTGGACTGAGCAGGTATAGAAACTTGTATAGGCACTATTTGTATTTATTCCGTCTTTTGTTGATTGTTTCTTCAGTTGATCATCCAGACATAAGAAGTAAGTTACTATTGGTGTTCAATCTGTGAGTAGTATTGTCTCTTGGTAACTGTTTCTGGAATGGATCATCCAGGAATAAAACAAAAAAGACGTTGTAATTACTATTGATATGGATTCTGTTGGTAGTACTGTCATTTCAAAACTGTTTCTGGACTGAACAGTCCAAGTAAAAAAAAACTTGTTATAATTATTATTGATATGGATTCTGTTGGTAGTACTGTCATTTCAAAACTGTTTCTGGAATGGATCATCCAGTAATAAAACAAAAAGACGTTGTAATTACTATTGATATACACTTTGTGAGTGGTCCTGCCTTTTCTGTAACTGGATTGTTCTAGGCAGGGACAGAATATTTGTTATAATGACTGGAAATGTAGTTTGTATGGGCATGCCAATCTTCTTTTAACTCTTCGTGGATCGGACTGAGCGGATGCAGAGAAAGAATATAATTATTACCGTCATGACATTTGTGGGTAGAAATGACGTACGATAACTTTTCCTGAATTCAATCCTGTAAACCGTCAATTGCAGGTGGTTTATAGTATTTTCAATGCCTTATTTAGTAACTACGTGCAGACTAGCTTGGTGACCCCTCTGCTAGAATTGACAGTTTTTACTTCTGAAACTGAGAACCAATAATCTGTGCGATTCATAATAGGAAAATCTCTTGGTGGCATGTTAATGGCCGTGAGGTGAATGATCACTGTGTTGTAAGTGAATGAATGGGCGTAACCTCTCAGGCCACACCTCTAGTAATCACGTGTTCGTAACTTCACAACCGTTGTTACTATCATCTCTACTTAGTTAAGATACTGGTGGTGTTCTCTAGCTTCAGAAGCTTCAAACCAGAGTCAGTACTAAGAAGTGTTTACAGTGATCTCTTCATCTTTCTGTTCTTTTATAACAAGCCATGAAACTTGGAATTATTCTTCTGGCAGCAGTAGCAGCAGTGTGGTTCAATTGTGCATTGGCAGGAGGTAAGTAGCAACCCCTAATTAAATATAACATAACCTGTCATTGGTCACAAGTATAAAAAGCCACAGGAGAATGCTAAAATCGCACATACACTTAAATTGTTAGAGCAGACACCGCAAACGCTCACACATACACTGCCGACGACCTTGACTGCATCACCCTAAACTTTCCCACTCTTCGATGGAAGAGATGCCATCCACACGCGAGCACTCACCGTCAGGTCGTCTCTCAGCTTGCTGGAGGACAGGTTAGGTTGTAAACGAAGTGATAACTTTACTTGCGAGCAGATCATGAAAGAATGTTATGTCTCTATACAAAAGTGATGTTACGGATTATTAATTAGTAGTGCATTCACGAAAGCTCGCTTCGTCTTTATTATTATAACTACATACAGGGAAACATTTAGAGCGGCCACACTTTATAAAAATGTACGTTCGTTCGACGCCTCCTATATATAAAAAATAATTTGTCGAATATATTTCTTTTAGGGAAATATATAAAATGTTTGCTTACTGTGTATCAAAGACTTTGTTGATCTTTCGTATATGGCCCGGCATGGCCAGGTGGTTAAGGCGCTCGACTCGTAATTTGAGAGTCGCGAGTTCGAATCCCCGTCTCACCAAACATGCTCGCCCTTTCAGCCGTGGGGGCGTTATATTGTGACGGCCAATCCCATTGTTCGTTGGTGAAAGAGTAACCCAAGAGTTGGCGGAGGGTGTTGATGACTTCCCTCTAGTCTTTCACTGCTAAATTAGGGACGGTTAGCGCAGAATATCCCTCGTGTAGCTTTGCGCGAAATTTAAAAAGAAACAAAAAAACAAATTTTTTATATCTATAAATAAAATGTATCTGCACCTGTTAATTTGTATGTAAAGTACAGTCACATTAACATAGTTATTTCACAGCAAGATGACACATTGAAAAAGTTTGTTCACTAGAACCTGTTAAATTATAGATAAAACTATTACTTTTTATTCTACCATGCTTATCTGTAATTCGTATTTATTTTTGTTGGTGTTGTTGGAAATTTATATACATGCGTTAACGTTTTATATAATCACAACCAAGAATATGTAAAGCTATAAAATCTCATAATCTCACTAAAACAGTTTTGTGTGTTTTGAAGTTCGGTTCGTGTAACATATCGTTTTACACGGTTTATCAGATTACTGGGAATATTTTGTATAAGTTTGTTATATAGTTTTAGTGAAAACTAAATCAGAAAATGTCTGATACATGTTAAAGTAAGACATTTTATTAAACATACACTAATCGCTATAATTAAAAAACATATATATTTCTAGCACTGCATTCTTAACTTGCCCATTACTAGTTCTTGTTGCTGAAACAGCTGAGCTCATCAAGTTAATTAAGTTACATTACTTGGAGACCTAGCAAAAACATTGATATCAAGCAGTGATGAGAAGAGTTAAAGTTGTATCACATTGTGTAGCTTATCAAGTTAATTAAGTTACATTACTTGGAGACCTAGCAAAAACATTGATATCAAGCAGTGATGAGAAGAGTTAAAGTTGTACCACATTGTGTAGCTCATCAAGTTAATTAAGTTACATTACTTGGAGACCTAGCAAAAACATTAATATCAAGCAGTGATGAGAAGAGTTAAAGTTGTATCACATTGTGTAGCTCATCAAGTTAATTAAGTTACACTACTTGGAGACCTAGCAAAAACATTTATATCAAGCAGCATTGTGTAGCTTTTCGCGAAGACCCGACACAAACAATTACAAGGCCGAAATAGAGTAACTTCAAATATAAAGAAAGCTCATGTAAGTTCACCAGTGATTTACATAAAGTTGTAATTTATACTGTCTTAACAATAAACAGAAGATTGTTCTTTTATAGATTATTTAGGCAGAGTATTCATGATGAACGAAGGTGAAATGGGCAGCAACAGACTAGTTCAGAGTGACACTTGTCGAAAAAGTCTTGTAGAACTTATCTACAAAAATCGCCCAGGTAGAGCGGACGACGTTTCGAAAGCTCTTCATCATCTGGGGACGAAAGATAGAAGGCTTTCGAAACGTCGTCCTATGTTTGCTCAGTAGGTTGTTGTTTGTTGAATTTCACGCTAAGCTACTCAGGGCTATCTGCGTTTGCCGCCCCTAATTTTGAAGTGACAGACTAGAGGGAAGGCATCTAGTAAACAACACCCACAGCTATCTCGTCGACTACTCTAATCGAATATGAGCTTTGACCATCACTCTTATAACACACCATCGGACAAAGAGTGAGGAGAGCGGTATGTTTTTTTATTTTTTGTATGGTAACGGAACGAGAACTTCAGATTTGTAATCCGGCAAGCTAACCACTGGGCCGCGCTCGGCCATAAAAAGAAGGTAAATTCTGTGTTTTTGTAATAAACATTTTTTGGTTTTAATACTTATTTTATGTATTTCCAGGGTCTGTGATGTAAACTAAAATGTTAAGTATGCATTGTAATGTGTTCAAATTTTCTAGTTACGGTATTAATTTGATAAATATATTGTAACATAAACTGGTAAAAACTATATAGATATACAATATACTATTATTAAATGTACTACACAATGTTTGAATTATTTGTTTATAACTAAGATACTTTACCAGAGGCATCGGAACCGGAGGTGCTGTAGCATCCCCCACGACACCACTGCTTTACGATATAAAGCATTCTAGCCTGTAGCGATTAATTTATTTTTGTGAAGTTTTAAACCAACTATTACATGGTCCAGACAAGATTTAACCACTCTCTTCTGATACAAATGGTAACTGTCCATCCAATCAAAGCCCTTTTTTCATCCTTATACTTCCCGTCTGTGATCTTCAGTGTTACTTTACCCATTGTAATATTTATCAACACCACCTTCAGTTGTCGTTTAATTTTTTACTGTCTCTCATTGGGTCAACTGTGGCAAGTTTACGCTAAAATCCGGGGTTCGATTTCCCGTGGTGAACACTTTGCAGATAGCTCTTTGTATAGCGTTGCACTAAAAAATAACATTTTTAGTCAATCATGACATTAACTTTGACCCCTTCTAAAGCCATATATTTTTGTATTTTGCTTTGTCTAAAGTTTCTGTACGTTAGAACATTTTTCATCAGACATCGGTTCAGTATTTTCGTGACTTGTACCTTTTAAGTCTTACTTTTCTAGCTGTTAGATCTGTTGCTTTTAATTAAACATATCCATTTTCCTCCAAGTATACATATACTAGTGCATTCATTCACAAGCAATTTGTTTAACTCCGATCTTGATGTTAAGTCTATAATTTAAGCATTGTTCTGTTAAACTTGCATTTCCCCAAAGGTTGATTTTTCTCAAATGTAGCTTAACCTTGTATAGTCTTTCTTTCTAAACAAAACACTAAATCTTGCGTTTTCTTTCGTATCAAACATATGTACCCATTATAAGACTGGGAGAGGGCGCGGCTTATTGGTTATCGAAATGTGTATCTGAGGGTCCAGGGTTCGATCCTCATTACCGAAAAAGTCTAGCTTTTCCCTTTAGAGCTGTATGCGTTATAAGAGTGATAGTTAGGTCTCACTAGCTACCTTCCCTGAAATCTATCAGATCAAAATTAGGAACGGCTAGCACAGATAGTCCTTGTGTAGCTTTGCGCGAATATCCGAAACAAACAATTAAAAGGCCGAAATAAAGTATTTTTAAATATAAAAAGAAACCTCGTACAAGTTAACCTGTAATATATATATATAATTCTGATTTATATTGTCTTGATGGTAAACAGAACTTAAATTGTGTTTTTGTAATGAACATTTTCATAGTTTTATTGTTTGTTTGTAGTTAAGCACAAAGCTACACAATGGACTATCCACGGGTATCAAAACCCGGTTTCTAGCGTTGTAAGTCCGAAGATATACCGCTGTGCCACTGGGGGAGGGGGAGCTCTTAGTTTAATACTTATTTAATTTGTCCCAGGCTTTGTAGTACAAACTGACCTGAATGTAGATGCAAATTAGATTGATTGCATGATGTATTAGGTGATCCTTGTAGCACTATAAATGAGGCAAACACATTTACTGTCAGTGTAACAGACCTGGGAAATGGTAAAGATATTGTAGCGTTCAAAAGAAACATGGTAGTGGGTGCGTGTACTGTAAATGGTTTAGTGGCAAGACAGTTTCGTTGGTAGGCTGTTCCAAGACATTGTCCAATCGGGTTTATCAGAAATGGCAAAAGTGAATAAAATGGCTGCTTAAAGGTGAATTATGGCCACAAAAATGCTATGACAGAAAGAGGAGAAAGGTAGTTATACAGGATAATAAAGTCCAACAGTCATCAAACAATACACCAACTAACATTACATTCAGCGCAAGGCTATCCATACTGTCAGAATTTAAAAATAATATTATATACTTATATGGATTCTGTTTGTTTTTTGCCAATTGTCGAAATAAATGACATTTGCTTATATTTCTTAATAGTATAAATATATACTATGTTGTTATTGGGCTTAGGATTCTTCT